ACTACGTAAATTTTCAACATAATAGTCCATTAGAGCAAGTAATTCTATTAAACATGAAACGTTTTTGCACCACGTTTATTCTAAATGATGCATCCACAGACACATCGTACAGTGCGTACAGAAGTTGTTGCTGCTGTAGAGCAGCACACAGCAGTTGGATACGTGTACATCCACTTTATGAAAGATTTTGCGAAAAGATTTTGCTTTGCGTGCTTACAAAATCCAACTCATGCAAGAATTGAAGGTATATATACCTAGCAAGACGTAGATTCGGTGGGTGGGTCCAAAACGAGATTGCTGTTGATTCCGATTTTCATAAGCGAGTTTTGTTTAGCGATCAAGCTCACTTTTTGTTTTTGTTTGTTGAATGGCTACATCAACAAACAAAACTGCCCTATTTCGAGTTTAGATAATCCTCAAATGTATGTTGAGAAACCATTACAACCAGAAAAACTGACTGTTATTGCCGATATACGGCGACATATATTGGAAAAAGTGATCGAAAATTGGACCAGACTACGTCACAGCTAGCCATGACGGCCATATGCCAGAAATCATATTTAAATTAAAATGTAAAAATATTATTTTTCAAATAAAGTCAATTTCATGATTTATAAAAATCATCTTTATTTTATTCAATTTCAAAGTTTTATATCTCTAAAAAAACCCTTTATATAATCATTCACGAAACAATTCAATTAGATGTTTCAAAATATTTGAACCAGGAGGGGAGGTAAAAGATGCTCCGTCTTCTTTTTTTTTTAATTATTACTTTTAGTTAGACTAAAAATCGCTGTAAGCTTTTATTATTATTTTTTTTTTAATTTCCTATTAATGTAAAATTTGTCAATAAAACGATATTTTAATATAGGAACACTGACAAATCAATAAATGTTTAACAGCAAACTAATTTACTCTTCATAAAATCACTGAATCCTCATTGAGACGACTTCTTTGTTTCCTCATAGTCAAGCCGGCTCTGGAGAAGAGCCTTTCTGCTGAGACATATGTTGCTTTAATTGATAAGATCTTCTTCTTCGCGTGCCATATCAGAATTATCCCACGTTGGCGATCTCCATTGCGAAGGCTTCTCGATCTTCTGCAATATGGAATAATTGTCCTGCATTTGATATCTGAGTCTGAATGTTTTTTAACCAAGAAACTTGTTTTCTTCCTACACCTCTACCTCTATTTTACCTTTAAGGATCAGTTGTAATATTTTATATCGACTTCTCTTTACTATATGCCCCAGATAAAACATTTTTCGATGTTTAACAGTCCTTAGCAGTTCTCTATCTTTGTTGACGCTCCTTAGTACTTCTTCATTAGTTTTCCTTGCTGCCCAAGGTATCTTAAGCATTCGTCTATGAACTCGCATTTCCAATGCTTCAATTTTGTTCATTCATGTTCATGATTAGCGTCCATACTTCTGCACCATACAAAAGTACAGACCAAACATAGCACTTAACTAGTCTTTGTCTTAGTTCTTAACTGAAATGATTATTGCAAAGGAAAGACTTCATTTTCATAAAAGTAGTTTTAGTCATTGCTATTCTACGTTTTATTTCTATCTCTGGATCTAGTTGGTCCGTTATCACAGTTCCCAAATATGTCATTTTGTGAACTTTCTCAACTTGGACTCTGTTTAATTGAAGCTTTGCATCGGGATGTGGGTCACGACTAAACACTAAAAATTTGGCTTTGTTTAAGTTTATTTTAATGCCCATTTCCTATCCTACCTCGTGAATACGATCAAGCAGAAATTTCCCGTTGATTTTTATTCACTATGGTTGTCTCTCAAGTGCCTTTTTAAATAACTGGTCCGAGTAAACATTGAACAATGTTTGCGACAAAATGCAACCTGGTCTGACTCCTCTTTGTATGGAGATTTCATCAGCGTAGTTATCTCAAATTTTTACGATAGTAGTTTCATTCCAGTACAAATTTTTAATGACACGAATATCCTTGTCATCTATTCCGATATTTTTAGTATTTGTATTAATTTTACATGCTGTATTGATATTATATTCCTGACCAAATGAATCATGATAGGAGTACCCCAAGGCTCAATACTTGCTCCAATATTATACACAGTTTACAATAGCGACATTCCCCGCCCACAGCAAGGATCAGAGTCTCTACTCCTATTCGCTGACGATACAGCCATTCTCACCTCAGGTTCCTACAGGGAAGGAGAGCGACGGTCTGTATTCGAGAAATCGCAAGATTACCTTGATAGAGTCATGAGGTGGTGCAACAAATGGAAGGTTACTTTAAACCCCTACAAAACACAAGCAATTTTATTCAGACCTCCTTACGGACGCGGCCTTCAGGGCCGGGTGACACTTTTGGGAGAGGACCTTATTCTCAGGAACTCAGTTCTCTACTTGGGAGTTCGTTTTACGAGAACTCTCAATTGGAAGGCTGACGTCCAAGATTCCCTTGACAGGATGAGAAAAAGGCTCAACCTCCTGAAAGTGTTGGCCGGTAAACTAGGAGGAACGTCCTCTAACACATTGTTGCACACTTACAAGACTTTCATCAGACCGATAATCAAATACAAGGCATGCGTTTACCTCTCCCTGAGGAATCACGAACTCAACGCCATCACCGCCACAGAGCGTAGAATACTACGCTTCTGCATGAGAAAAGATTGGCTGTATCCATCAGCCCACATATATGCAATAACCAACATCACGCCAATTAAGGACAGAATCCTAACCCTCAGTAGGAAGTATGTCCTAAGAACCATAGCTGGCTCGAACAACCGAGCAAAACAAACATTGAAGACACCTTGTTCACATAGAGGGCAAATACTCACCAGGCATCCCGCCAAAAAAGTTCCATTCCCTCCAGCTAAACTTCTACATAATGCTGGACCTGAACTTCCTGAGGAGTATTTTAATATTTTAGAATCTTTCCCCATCTACTATGGCAGATAAACTGCGCACCAAAAACGCTGATAAAGAGCCGTTCCTATTGTATGGCTGGTAACCCTGAAGTACCTCACACTGCATGCTAGGCAAACCCAATTTCTTCTTGTGCGTTCAATCGATTCTTATCGATCACAAAATAAGCCACCTTCTTTTTCCCTCCTTTCCTTAGTAGTTCTCTACTTCTTAGGCCGCGTTTCGTTCAATTGTCGTTTTTCTCACACCCTCACAACTCCGTCAAAAAAAAGGAGTTCCCCATTCCTTGAATGGGGAACAGCCTAAACAACGTTAAAACTCGAGGTTAGTTAGTATCTGGTATTTCCGCCATTGTTTTATGAGGAAGTTCTCAATAGTGAAGCCACTCATAGTGATGGGTTCCTCAATTAATTTTAACAATATTTGAACCTCTTATACACACATCAAAATAATCTAAGCTATTAAGAGCTTTAAATCAATGTTAGCTGCAAATACAAAAATAAATTTAATCTTTTTTAAGATTAACTTAATGTCTATATAAAAAAATTAACAAAACGTTTTTTGTCTATAATATAAAAAGTAATATTTCTTTATTTTCGATGTATATGTAGATTTTTATTTAGTTTTGTGATTGCCAATAATGGAAAGAATGGAGAATCGTTTAAATCGCGAAACGCAGTGGCGTGCTATCGGAATGCTTTAAGCCGGCAGAAGTCATTAATCGTTTGTGGTTAAGGTATCAAGAAACTGGTGATGTTACTGAGCGTCATAAAGGCCTTACCAGGATAACCAACCAGATCGAAGACCGTTTTATTAGGTTGCACGCTTTGCAGGATCGCACTGTAACTGCATTAAAATAACAAATGAGGCTGCAAGAGACCCATCAGGTGTTTGTTTGTAAGTGGCCAAACCGTTCGAAATAGACAGCATGAAGTAGGGTTAAATGCTCGAAGATCTGTGAGAGTGTCTGTGTGTTATCTAGAGGAAATCACGCTCATATACTTCAGTGGGCACAAGAACATGCAAATTAAGTTAGACGTGAGTAGGCCTCCACTTTGTTCACAGAAGAGTCCCGATTTCGATTTGCACCAGATACAAGACGGACAAGAATTTTGAGAGGATCTGGCAATGCTGAACGATTAGCCACCGTGCAGGAGGTTCATACACAGCACTGCGGCAGTATAATGGCATGGGATGGCATCACTCTTGGTGGAAGAACTAATCTCGTTTGCCTGGAACGGTTTCTAAATGTAACAGACTACCGCGATATTATTCTTGAACCTATTGTTGTATCTTTTGCGAACATTTCTCAAAGATAATAAAATTGAGATTTTATCATGGCCTGTACAATCGCCAGATTTAAACCCAATTGAGCACGTATAGGACATATTGGACAGACGCATGTTAGAACAAAATATTGAGTTCAATACAAGACAGTAACTGTTCGAGGGCCTTTCAATGGAGTGGAACAGAATAGAACAGTTTGCCTTACGGGTAGGACAGTAATCAACAACCGTGAAGGTCATACACTATACTAAATTAACCTAAAAACTACTTTGTTGGGAGTTAAAGGGCAACAAGTTAGTTTTTTTATTTTTTTATTACCATTTTTGACTTATGGAGTTCTCTTTTAATTTTCGTAAGAGCTACTGCGATAATTCTAAGAAAGAATGTTTATTTTATATTCGGGACACGTGTATATAACTTCTTATTAAAAATATTTGAAATAAATTATTTGATATCTTTGTTTTTGTCCCCCAGATTATTTTGATGTTTATATCTTAAAAATTTCCAGGCTTACGTGGCTTTACTTCTTCTAACATGTGCCTCTAGTTGTCTACATTTGCTTCACTGCTGTTAAATATTTTGTAATTAGTTTCCACTTTAATACCCTTTTACAGTACGTCTCGTGAGCGGTTGGTTTTTCGTGGTAAGCTCGTAAGCTCGTGGTAACCTCCTTATTTAAATATTTCTTTTTCAAAAGAAGCAATATTGTTTCTCTTTCTTTTTTTTTCCGATGAATGAAACGATTTTTCCATAGAATTATCTAATTTACTTTCCACATTGTATTTCTTTTTCTTTTTGTTTTAGGTATAAAAAATTTGGATCCAGACACCGCCAACACACTAGCAGGTACTGATCCTGACTACGCAATTAGAGATTTATATAATGCCATCGAAGAAGGTAAAAAAACAGGCAAATATCCATCGTGGACGTTTTATATTCAAACTATGACACCTGAACAAGCTGCAAAGCAAAAATTAAATCCATTTGATATCACCAAAGTATGGCAACATAAAGACTTTCCTTTAAGAAAAGTGGGAAGATTCGTTTTAAATAGAAATCCTGGCAATCATTTCTCTGAAGTTGAACAACTATCGTTTTCTCCCAGCAACTTCACCCCAGGTAGGCATTAATCTTATAATTAATTTTTCAATATTAAAGCTCTGCAAAAAAGTCGTGAATATAATTTATAATATACAATATATTTAACCCTTAAAACTGACCATATCTTTTATATTTCCTTTGACGTGTTACTGTTAGATGATAAATTTATTTAAAAAAAAATTATTTAAAAAATCTTTTTAAATATGCAGTATCTTTTAAGTTAAACAGATCAGTAGAATTGTCTTGTCTTAATCCTCTTGCAACCGGAAAAAGATTTGACATACTTCCTTCTACGACCACACTATTGTTTGTACTTGTTAGCGATATTTTCAATAATTATATCAACTTTTTTGATAATCCTAAATTTTGTAAAGCTTTATACCACTTTTTCCGATGGATAGAGCCATACGTCTGTTTAAAATCAATGAAGAGCATGTGGGTCCTAGGTTTTGTTCGTAACTGTTATTTTGTATCAATTTTAAGGTAAATATTTGATCCACTGTCAATCTTCCTGCTCTAACCCTCCTTGATGTTCACCTACTATGCCATTCTCGTATTTTTTCAATCTATTACATATGACCTTTGCTAATATTTTGTACACAACATCCAGTAGCGCTATCCCTCTGTAATTTTCACAAAGGGTTCTGTCACCTTTCTTATCTATTGAGCAAATTACGGCATTACTTCATCTCTCTGGCATTTTCTCCTCTCTCCACACTCTCAGTATCAAATTACATAGCTTTGCATTAGCAAAGAAAGCTATGTAATTTGATACTGAGATATTGCATTGCTCCTTTTAAAATTTCTGCCGATATTCCATTATTACCTGCGCTTTTAGCATTTTAAAGCCATTTTATTGATTCCTTTATTTCCTGTTCTGTTGGTTCCTCTACGTACTCCTCATCATTATCCTCTAATTGGTTCATTGCCTCATCTGTTTGCATCTGTTCTTCATTATTTAGCAGTTCTTCAAAATATGGTGACCATCTGTTTAATTTCTCTGCAGTATTTCTAAGGAGCAGTCCTAAAGAAAAACAGTCCTATGGTATTTACAATAAGTTGCTTTTGTATTATGTGCAGTATGATACTTTATATGGAATAGATAAACTCGCTTTGCATTTCATTTTTCTTCTGTTTACATTAATGTAGAGCTAATTCCAGTAAGTCTAGACATATTGCAGGTACAAACATTCCTGTTTATAACATAACTCAGGCTAAGGTATTTTCAGGTATAGTTTAAAGGACAATTTGAGTTTCGAAATACCATCTCATTTTATCATTTTGTGTGATTATACTTTAAGTAAACCAATTTACACGCTGTTTAGCTAATCATTAGTCTGTAGAAGTTTTCCTAATATGTGAGAAAATAGTTTTGTCATTCCAACACTTTAATTTGGTGATAAGTATAATATAAAAAAACTATCATCCCGTCAGCAACATAAGTGTAAGTCGTAAACTATTTAAATAACTTTTAACAATTTTAAAATTTAAATTTTAATACTTTTATGTCACTGTAAAAATATTATCATTGATGAGCAACATAGCTTTACAGCTGGTAGGTCTACCGTTATGATTATGGTAAATCGGGGCAGGGCCTATTTATGAGCCCTTCAGACAATTAGACCTCCTAGGACGGGCCATTGTATCACCCCTATCATACGGACTACGCATATAAGGACTTGGTCTTCGACGGTTCTGGGTCCAGGCTCCTAGCTCCCATATCTGTTAGAATCATCAGGGGCTCCAAAATTGAGCTCTTCCTGCCATTCCAAAAGTCTAATCTTTAAGTAAGCTTGTGGCCCCATAGAAAGCCACAAGTCTCTTTAGGGGCAGCACCCTCATTTGACTCGGTTGCATAAAGGCCGAACCCAGGATATATCTCTAGGTAGGCGAATATCGAGCACTTCCAGAGAACATGTGAGGAGGTTTCCTGCTTCTTATTACATAGACGGCACCGTAGGTCATCCAACAATTTAAGCAAATGTAGGTACCGCCTGAGTCTACAGTGACCGGTAAGCATACTGACCAGCAGAAAGCATTTTCTACAGTCTAGAAGGAGAAATTAAGCTGTAAGACTTTTGGAAGGGCCCATTATGTGGGCCAGCTGTGAAGCTATCTCATAGCTTCACAGCTGGCCCAGGAGGCCTGAAACCTCCGCAAAAGAAGCTCCATGAAGCTACCTCGAACAATAGTGAATCATATGTTCGGGTCCCACAGGCAGAGTGGATGAGCCTCGTATTGTCAGGTCATGGGCCCGTTCGTTCCCTTCTACACCTGTGTATTCCGTTATCCATACCACGTTAACCCTATTGGTCTGCGCAACGTCATCCACTGCTCTCTTGCACCCAAGAAACAGCTTAGAGCTTTGGGCGCTTCCAACGTCCTTGGAGAACTCAGAATCGCAGTCTCAGACTGTCGAAAATTGCGCTAAATCATCGAACATAAATGAAAGCAGAAAATATGAGAAATACCAAAACGATACATTTGGAGCCGCATTTTGAATAAGAATGTAGTCGGTCATCAGGATAATGCACCTTGCTATGAATCTGCAATTAAAGTGGCTAAAATTCATAAAAAGTAATTTGGCATTCGTCCTTCCATTCCTCAAATCTGATAAAATGGTTCGGTTATAAAAGATTTTTGTCTAATTCCGAAGTAATCGTTACTCCTCCCTCTTTCATAAGCCTATAAAAAAGGCATTCTTGAATTAGGATATCGTTGGAATACCTGTGGTGATCAATTCTCAGATCGCTCGTTTCTTTATTAAATCAAGTAGCAATCGAAAAATTTTCTGTATTTAATTTATCAACAATACCGGATTAAACCTAAGTTATATGTCAAAACAAAAATACCTACACGTTATGAATATTTTTTGTAGGATTTGGACCGTCTCCCGATAGATTGCTTCAAGGACGTTTGTTTGGTTACCACGATTCTCACCTTCACCGTATGGGAACCAATTTTGAACAACTACCAGTAAATCGACCAATAAAAAAGGTGAGTATTAAAACTCTATAAAAATCATAGTTATAAAGGAATTAAAAATATACAATATCGCACAAAGCAGAGCACTTGACATAGAACAACTTGATATTTTTTATTTAAATGGGAAATTTATCAGATTATTTTTATTAATATTATTTTTATAGGTATGTATGATCTCTAAAATTAAAGCAATATTTTAAAACATAAAACCGTAAATCGATATATTAAAAACATCAGGACTCGATGGTAAGATATAAGACTGATCTCAAACTTACATATCCAACATAAAGGAACAGTACAATTAGAAAATAAACTGTCCGAGATCTTCAGTCAAAAAAAGGAGTTAGACAGGGTTGCATATTGTCAGCGGCATTATTTAACATATACTCTGAAAACATCTTTAGAGAGGCCTTGAACGAATCAGAAGATGGGATTGCTGTAAATGGCCAACTTATAAACAATATTAGATATGCACACGATACAGTGTTGCTGGCAGATCCCATCCCTTTTGAAGCAGCTGCCTTAGAGTAAAAATCTAATCTATGGTCGATCTATTTTTTCTGAATCCGGCTTGTAATTCCCCTATGAAATTTTCTACAAAAGTTGTTCGATAAATTGCTGTAGATTGCAAATCTCAAAGTATTTCTATATTGTAACCTGACAGATCTTTTTTGTACACATTTATTCATCTTTCGTGTGTACACATATCTAGTCCAAATGATATAGCTTTAAAGAAAGCCTACTAAAAAGTTTTTAAAAGGTTTGCTCCAGGTATTTATGGTGTTGACGACGAACAATTAGTTTGTATATATATATATATACATATATATATATATATATATATATATATATATATATATACATATATATATATATATATATATATATATATATATATATATATATATATATATATACAATCTTCTATAGCTGGCGCCGCTTCTCGCATCCTAATTTTCAGCGTTTTCTGTCGAAGCAATCTTCAGTTGTTAGATCTCTGGCGGTCATTGCATCGTCGACATCGTCTCTCCAGCATCGTCTTGGTCTACCTCGTATTCTTCTAGTTGGCCGAGTCCATTCTTCTATTTTTTTGGACATCTATTTTCAGGCATGTAGTTGTTGATTATAGATTAAGAAGGGGTGATTAGACTTTTCCACATTGAAAGATATTTTGTATGTTCCCTGCGTTTATGTTCGGCTCAAAATATCTAGGCTTCTAAGAAAGCTAATTGTTTGTTTCGGACAGATATTTGTTACTTGGTCAGGTTCTAAAAAGACCTGTCCCAGATATGGGTGACGTTGGCGAATGATTGCCCCACAGTTGAAAATATGTTCGGCCGTTCTTACTGCATTTTATCAAAATCTGCATGTTGCTCTTGCCCAATATTTGACCGTTTTACCGAAACGGTATCTGAGTTAGTGTGGTATTTGATAGACTCATTTCTTATAAAAGTTATCAGCAATCCCATAATCACCAATTCCTTTATCTGTTAGCACCAAAGTTACTTGAGTTGTGCTTCGCAATTTGCTTGAGGTACTATTTGTAGTTAGAAGCTGTTACGGAATCAAAACTGAGTCTTCAGCAGGTTGCATATCTAAGACAATACATATTTAGACAACTGCGTTGTTTTTTCCAGCATTCTTAAAAACTGAACTAAACCCTCGATCTCGAGAATTATCAGAAAGCAATTATATATTTATTAATTTCACAGTAACATGGGATGCCAATCGTGTTCTCTTTTTTTTTTCGATATTATCTATTTCTCTTCGCAAACGTGAACTGACGAAAAGTGCCTCTGCACGCTCCATGAGGTCCCGGCTGTAGAATGCAACGGTTGATATAATCAAGGACACTGAAGACTTTTATGAAATTCAATACTTATGCTTTGGCTAATATCTTGTTTATTTGTACACAGAGGTGACGTATAGTATGTGTTAGTGGACCACATGTCCACTGATGATGGTTTTCTTGAACAGTGTGTATACGTATGTTGATTTAAATATTTTATTGACAATTTTCCATTTTTCCCAGATTGCAAACTTCCAACGTGACGGAACATCTGTTCTCTACAATCAAGGAGGAGCACCTAATTACCATCCCAACAGCTTTGGAGGTCCCGAAGTAAACCCAGCAGCTACAAAATGGTCACTTCCACCTGAACATGTCACTGGTGAAGTAAACTACTACGATTTAGGCAATGACGATAATTATACGCAACCAAAACTTTTTTATAACAACGTTTTGGACGAAGCAGCTAGAGGAAGGCTTGTTAATAACTTAGCTGGTGTCATTCAACTTGCAAAGAAAGAAATACAAGATCGAGCAGTAGAAGTTTTCAAGAACGTTTCTGTAGATTTAGGAGAAAGGTTAACTAAGGCGTTAGCTCAAGTGAAAGTTAACTTGTAAATTAATATTTAACACAGTTTAATTAATTGATACACTAACATAATTCAAAAATAAAATAACATGCATATTATTTCTGTTTTTTAATCTCCCAAATACTTTGATGGTTCGCGAAGTAAAAAAGTTAATAAGAGACTTAATGTTTCATTGGTTCGTGCCGCATGGCAAACCAAAATTTTTTAAAAGTCGCGATATAAAATTCTAATAGACCGTGTGATTTCCGAAGAAGTTCATCTACGATTTTATCCCTTATAGTACAGTCACTGAAGGTTTTCACTCCGATTTCGTTGAAACTCCATCGATTTTCATGAAAATTGGTGAGTAATTAGAGGATACCTCAAGAAACAAAAGTGAGATGGTGTCAACTTGCGCTTTTACTCTGGGAGTGGATGCCATCCCTACTTGGCTGTGGAAATTATTTTATTAACAATAACCCCAGGAATCGATAGAGGGACCAAATCTAAACAAAATTTATCTTCTTCTTCTTCTTCTTTTTTTATAAGCAAAATGCTTGTTCAATGTCGATTAATGCCTCTATTGGAGGTTATCACTCCATCTTTTGCGTGGTCGCCCGATACTTCTTCTACCTTTTGGTGATTTGTCACTCGCTATTCTGACTAATCGGGTCTCTTCCATTCTGTTTATGTGTTCGTTCCATTCCTTTTTTCTGCTCAGTGTCCACTCATTTATTTCTGGTATATTGCATTTTCTTCTGATCTCTTCACTCCTCATTCGATCCCTCAGTGTGTTTCCTGTAATTCTCCTCAGTAAACGCATCTCCGCTGTTTCTAGTAGTTGCTGAGTTTGGAGGTATCCGGTCTTGTCTCTGAAGTGTATGTCATTATTGGTCATATTGTTGCTTTGTAGATTCTTGATTTCACGTCGGTATTAATGTGGGGATTGCGCCATATCGTGTTATTAAGACAACCTGCTATTTTATTAGCCTTTTGTACGTGATTTTTCACTTCCTTCTCCACATCTCCGTAGCTAGACAGTGTAATTCCTAGGTAATTTGTCTCCATTACTTGCTCAATGCTGATACCGTCGATTTCCAGTTTACATCTAATTGGTTCTTTACTGATTACAATTGTTTTAGTTTTCTGTGTAGAAATCACCATATTAAAGTCCTTTGCCGTTGTGTTGAATCTATGGGTTAGTCTTTGTAAATAGTCATCATTGGATGCAATTAGGGCCTTCCTTTATTAATAGTATTGATGATTTCATCCATGATTAGATTGAATAGCGTTGGACTAAGCGAGTCTCCTTGTCTTATTCCATTGCCCATATCTATTGGATCTGTAAGCTGGTCATCTATTCTGACTTCCATATTGTTGTTCTGGTAAATGTTCTCTATTGTTTTTATAACATCTAGTGGAATTTCTCTATCGTAAAGAAGGTGAATTACATCTTTAAGCTTTACTTTATCGAACGCTTTCTTCAGGTCTATTAGACATATGAATGCTGGTCTGTTATACTCTAGTGCTTTCTCGGTAATCTGTTTTATGATGAATACTGCATCTGTGCACGATCTTCCTGTGCGAAAACCCTGCTGTTCATCCGCTAAGGTAATTCTCTGATTTATTTGGCCTTGCAATATTTTGGTTGTAAGCTTCAAAGTGGTGTTTAATAAGTTGATACCTCGGTAGTTTTCAGGTTGTTTTTTATCTCCTTTTTTGTATAGTAGGATAAGCTCGCTTTTCTTACACTCTGCCGGTATTTTATTATGTTTGATGATTTTGTTAATTAGTGTTGGTAGCTGTTCTGTTAATGCTTCTCCACCATATTTCAATAATTCATTTGGAATTCCATCTTTACCTGCAGCTTTTCTGTTCTTCAGTTTTTCTAAAGTTTGTTTTACTTCTTGTACGGTTATCTCGACTTCCTCGTTTGTAATGATTTCTGGTTCTAACATCATTTGCTGTTCATCATTATAAAGCTTCTTTAGGTATTCAATCCATGTGTCGTTATCTATGTGTTTCGGTTCGATTAAGTCTTTCATCTCTGATCTTTGGCCTCCTATGAAACGCCATATTTCCTTTTGTAGACCGTAAAAGTCGTGTTCCATTTCTTTTGAGAAGCGTTCCCAGTGTTCGTTTTTAATTTTTCTTACTAGTGCTATTGTTTCGTTTCTTATCATTTTGTAATTGTTGTATTCTTGTGGTGTTTTGTTAGACATGTATCTTAACTAAGCTTTCTTTTTTTCTTTGCATTTTTCTTTCACTTCTACGTAGAACCACGGAGTTTTCCGCTTTTGGAAATATTTATTTTTAGGAATTTTCCTTTCTCTTACAGCTTCTTTTGCTGAATCTAGGATGCTTGCTTTAATTTCGCCTAAAATTTATCTTAAGTTATTAAAATAAATCAATACTTTTGAGTTATTGAAGATCAAATATTTTGATTTTTCGTGAAAAAATGCATGTTTTAAAGCGGTTTTTCATAAATAACTCAAAAACTATAAGTTTTTATAAAAAGTTGTCATTACCAAAATTAAAGCTAATAAAAAATTGAATAAATTCCTTGCTTGAAAAACCTTTTAATATTAATTCAAAGTGAATTATAGGTAATTAAATGTATTTATTTTTTTCGGCGAGTACCCAAATCTGAATATTCAAGCTTAAATATCGGGAAAACAATGCATTTTATAAAATATACTTATTCAACAATTTTCAAAGTACTCAGAAATATTGATAAAATGAGCTCTAGATGAAGTTGATAGCATCAAAATTAAGCAAGTTATGATGAAAATAAGAGGATCCTTTCGATTTTTTTGGAAAAAGTGAAAAATAAAACATACGCCATTTCCACAAAAATGAAAATGTATAGTAATCCCTATAAGACTTTCTTTATTTTAGCATTAGTAATGACCTCAAAGATTTTGGCCGGTTTAGAATGCATATTATTGAAAAAAAAATTGATTTAAAAAAATTAGAATTTTTCAAATTTTCATAAATTTCATTTTCTTTTGGATATCACCATATACAGAGTGGCCCAAAAGTCTGGAAACGGCCAATTATCTCGTAAATTACCAGACATAATTATACAAAATTTGAGGTGAACCCATTTTGGGAAACGGAGATTTCATATTTGATATTTGCAATGTTGCCAGATTTGCCGTTTCTCTTATATAATTAGTAACTTTCTTTTTTCAAATTCATCACCCTGTATATTCACTCATTATTGGAATCTCTTTTTCAATACGAGTTCAACCATATGTAACACTTTTGATTTTATGTAATCTGGAAGGTCTTAAATACATAAAACAGAAGTCTGACAACGCCTAATTGTCTCAATAAATGTTTTAATACTAATTATTTTTAACTACATTAAAACGTAACAATTGATAGATTACAACATTTAAAAAAAAATGGTTACGTTATCAAGTGTTCAAAATGTGCTCCATTTGTGAGTTGACAGTACTCTAGTCGACGGTAGAATGCGTCTACCACATTTTTCCATGATTGTCTAGAAATTATTCATCGATATTTCGTTGCCTTAGTTCTGCAAGACTTGCTGGTTTAGTTTTGTAAACTGAATTTTTCAAGTCTCCCCAATAAAAATAATCTTTTATACAATCTTTTGTATCGTTTAAAAATATTCTTATGTAATACACGTAAGACTGAAGAACGACCTACATCATTAACGAACGACCATGTGCAACCCTGCGTGAGGATGTATGTGGATCTTCAACAAAACTTTGCATTATATCTAGTTTTGTTGTTATTCAACGCTTTTCGGTCTAACTGATCGGTATCTATCTAGTAAATTCGTAATTCGTAAATTGTGTGTCATAATTTTACAAAATTTGGTGTAAATGTTCAGTGTTATTTAGAAGAGGTATTTCCCGGACGATGGATTGGTAGACGAGGTAGAATTGAATGGCCTCCACGTTTACCTGATTTCAATCCTAAAGATTATTTTTATTGGGAATACTTGAAAAATTCAGTCTACAAAACTAAACCAGCAAGTCTTGCAGAACTAAGGCAACGAAATATCGATGAATAATTTCTAGACAATCATGGAAAAATGTGGTAAACGCATTCTACCATCGATTAGGGTACTGCCAACTCACATGGAGCACATTTTGAACACTTGATAAAGTAACCATTATGTTAAAAAATGTTGTAATCTATCAATTGTTACATTTTGATGTAGTTAAAAACAGTTAGTATTAAAAAATTTATTGAGACAATTAGGCGTTGCCAGACTTTATGTTTTATGTATTTAAGATGTTCCAAACTACATAAAATCATAAGTGTTACATATGGTTGAACTCGTATTGAATAGGAGATTCCAATAATGACTGAATATACAGGGTAATGAATTTAAAAAACCAAAGTTACTAATAATATAAGAGAAACGGCAAATCTGGCAACACTGCAAATATTAAATATGGAATCTCCGTATCCCAAAATAGGTGTACCTTAAATTTTGTACAATTATAACTAGCAATTTACGAAATAATTGGCCGTTTCCAGACTTTTGTAATGATAGAGAACAAAATTTGAGGTTTTTTATCAACAAAGATTTTCCTTTTTTATATTTTTGTAGGATAAAAAATAACTGAGATAAAAATGTTTCAAACCTAAATTTTATTGCGAGAACCATGTAACCGGGGCCCTTTAACCTTTTATCTTTGAATGAACCTGATATCCTAAAAATTAACGGAGTTAATTTTTGTAAATTGTAAAAAAATCAATAACATTTTTTTAGAAAAAATTTTGGAGTAGAGATTTTGTATGTATATATATTTTGTATGTATGTATGAAAAACGATAGGTAATAAGAATTAGACGTGTCGATAGGTATATGCTCACGAAATATACATGTGTGGATGTATGTATGTATATTTTGAAGAGAGAAGAAGCTAGTAAAAAGAATTCTGTATATCTGCTCAAAAACATAGTGGGACTTTCTAGTATGCTGCTATTTTTTATTCTTACGATAAAGATAGTAATAAGGGTGCAGAAAGGAATCGTCGGTCACAAAAGGTTATTTTTAAAGAATTTAAGTTTACAAAAGATATGCCAGTAGCTGTTAGTCAAGACAAATTCTTGAGTAATCATAAAAATAAAGG